AATGTTTAAAAGTGTTGCAATTGTGATGTATTTTAGTGTGTGATATGATGAAGCTGTTGACGAACTGTGACTGTTTTTTAAATTAATGAAAAAAATTTTTATACGTATTTTAATTGATAAATATAGACAATAAATGACTGAAACCCAGGAATTGATTTTGATTTGGAATTGAAAAACAGTCAGTAAAGTATAAACAATTATAACAACATTGCGAATTTTTGATAAAAATTAAAAAAAAGTAACTGTAATGTTACTTTTTCACCTGTTACCAAAGTAGAACTTCCACATTGTAACCAGTTCCAGACAAATAACCTAGTATGTTAGAAGTTTAAAAATTGACCATGTCCTTGTTTGTGGGCTTCCAGCAAAGGAGAGAGTGATAAAAATGATGAATCTGTTTGGTCCGATCCTGAGCTTAATGTGCATCAATACAGCACAAAAATAAAACGCTTTTATACCCGTCACTGTTATATGATGAATCGGTGGCGAAACAGACAGCAATGGCGTCGAAAACCAGTCAAGGCAGGCATCGTGATGGGGTTTTACTATCACCCTGTCAGCTCTTGACAGCCAATCGGGGGTATTTGATTGCGGGCTACTCCTCGTTGAAATACGCGTTTTAATTAGGTATCTAAAGCAGGAGCCCAACCCCTATAACCGCCAAAATAGGCCTCCTCGTCCTCAAACCACTGCCTGAGTTTTATGTTAATTTAAATAGGGTTTGGAAGCAATAAACCTTTAAATCAGCCAGCATTTAAATTCGATTACGTTCTTTGTTTGACGATGTTTTAATCGGCAAACTGATTTCAAAATTCTAATGCGTTTTTTTCCAAGAAATTTTTGAATCGATTTTTGTTCCAGGTCTGGTTTCAAAACAGGAGAACAAAATGGCGAAAAAAGCACGCAGCTGAAATGGCCACTGCGAAAAGAAAACAGGAAGTGCTTGATAATCAAACGGATGAAAATAGTGACATTATATCCGACAATGAAGACGAGCATTCTGCCAAACGACAAAACCTGCAATGAGTGTGGTAAATAAGGGTTGTGGTTTTATATGGACAAAGTTGAGGGACGTTTACAGATTAACAATTGCGACTGAAGAGACTTTAATCAGAAGAACTGTTAATGCTTAGACTTGAGCACTTGCGGTTCAGTTAATATTTCCTTCATCTTCATTCAGTTCACAAATCGCATACGCAATTTAATGACTTGGAATAACTGCATACTTTCTTGCTAGAGACATTTGCATAATTGTGATAAACTATGGAAAAGTATATTTAAATGATTTTTTAATGAAGTAAAATTATAAAACCGTCGCTAGAAATATTTAAAATCATATTCTCAGTCCACAACTCTTTAACGTTTGTACATATAGTGAAAAATAAAATGTAGTGATCTCATTCTATTGTGAAAGTGATTCAGGACAACTTGTAAAAATGTTATATAATGTATGGCAAATATACGTGTATGTATAAATACTTCCGTAGCATTATACTTATAGAACATCTTTTTAGTTTTGTTTCTTCGGCAGTAATACGTTACAAATGATATTTAGTCACTAGTATTCGTTGTCATAGCACACTGGCTTTTAGTTGAGGTAGATGAACGTATGATATCATGTATTGGTCAAACGCATCATTTCAATTAACTAATCAAGTGCAAACTTCCGCATTAATTAATTATTATTTGCAAGAAATATGTATATTAGTTGAACATCGCATTGTTTTTGTTTAATGTAAATATTATATATTTATATGTAATATAGGCTAACATTTGTATGCGTTCAGTATGAATTAGTTATTTACTTTAATAATTCCAAATCTAGTCAGTCAGAACGGTTTCAGTCACATCGCCTTAGCTGTATATAATCGCTAACCGTTTTACGATACGAATTCTAATGCCGAATAAACAGTTTCTAAACAGAATTAAACACAAAATTGTCATATAAATTTTACTCGTTTGTGTTTGTCCGTGATTGTCGATTTTTATTGTTATAATGTATTAGCAGCATTTTTTTTGTTGCTAAAGTTGAAACTTTACACCTGTGTAAATGACACTTTTATTATTTTTTACTTTCTAATAAACTAAATTTTACACGGAAATTGATTACATGTAAAGTTTACGGTATTAGCAAGATATAGTTGCTTCTCATTAAAACGTGCCAAATTTTAACTGTGTGTATAAGAAGTAAATAAGAAAACGTGCAATGTTTGTATACATAATATCCTCGGAATACATGCAGCTACATTATGTATTGTATTGAAAAAATCTGTATTTATAATTAAAAATAAAATGTTTCAGTGATTCCTGCAAAAAATGTGTTTTATTTTGCGAGTCACCATCATCAACATCTTTACAGCGCCAAAGATCATGAATTGCCACCGAAATCAATTTAATGGTAACAACCAACGATTTTAAAATGGGCGTCAGTGTATAATATATCGGCGATAACGACAAATTTATGTTTATCGGTGATGTAAAATAGGCGCGAGGATAAAATGTAAATTACAAATTACCCATCGTATAATTCTGTGTTATGAGAGAGTTTTTGCCGCCAGCGTAACGGTTTAATTTATAGCAAAACTGGCCAAAATTATCAAGGATTGTTTGCAAAAATTGATTCTATCTTTATAAGCTACGGGAAAACTAAGCTACTTATCAATAGTAAATAAGGCATGGGGATTTTCTATATTGATACTGTGCTTGCTTTGTCACTAGCATATGCGAGGGATTAGTAAATTTACTTTTATACGGGGTGCTCCAGTTTTGGTTGTAAAATGATACGCTCTTGATCAAACAGTTTAAAAAATGTTGTAAACGTTTTTTCATGTTTACTAGGTATCATCGGTTTATTGATTTGGCAGCTCGAAGATTTCAGAAACTCTCAGTTAAACAGTAAGTGATTTTTTTCGAGCTATTCAGTGGATGATAAAATGTGTTGTTTTTCAGCTCAACTTATTGAAAAAATGACGCCAGCAACGTAAATGCTGATTTTTGAATACTCAGCTGCTAAAGTAATACTATTACTATTAGTAAATATTTCAGAAGAAAAAACAGTGACTGAAATGAAATAAAAATTAAAAACTGTTTTAGTAGGAAAACGAAAAACTAAAGCACATAAAAATTGAACTTGATATCTGTAAAGGTTGTTAAAAATTTGGTAAAAACGACCGAAACCTAGTTATTGGACATAATCCTTAAACACTCTAATACACTTAAAATGCTAGAGACCCAGAGATGCCTTTGATCAACATTTTCCTTTCAGTTGGAGCTGGAAACAAATATGGTGCAAGAATAGAAGCTAAGAATAGACGGTCATAAATTCAGCTGACCGCAAAACGCGATAATTTGAAAATAGCACTTATATGACATGTTCGGCTTTTAAAGCAGCCGGAAAAGAGACTCGCTCTCTCGAAGGGATTTAGAGGAATCGTATAACGAGATGGCGTCGTTGTCAAGGCAACGACCGGCGCCTAGCCACCTATATTATTCCTCCTCCTCCTCCTTCTCTTGTACTATTTGAGATAAATTACGCTGCATATCTTACAGGAAAAACTTTCGGATTTATATATGCACAAAACATGACGTGGATTACTTCTCCGCATTTTTATCTATAAATGAGATTGTAACTATAAAAAGTGAGCATTTTTGTTTTATGCCGCTCTTTCTTTCTCTTAAAGCTGGCATTTGATGGGACGGGTTTTGAATAGCTTTAATGAATGCTAATCATTAACTGAAAAGTTTCGCATAGATAAACAATAGGGTTCACTTAGGTGCCCAAGGCGCGATGTAAACTACCTGTTGAAATACCTGCTATCAGAATAATTGGCTTTTCCGAACTTAAAGCAAACATCCTGCTGAATTAGAGAGCGAATATAAAGGACAACAAAATTCAGTTTTAACCGAGACAGTTAAATGATTAAATAATTCCCCGACAGGTCTTAGTTGCACCCTAGGGACACCCCTTTAATTTAGTCCAATTGTTATTATCCTTATAATCCGCGTATTCCTAATTACCCTTCCCAATAATTATTCTCGTCCTTTGTGCAACAAGATGGCGTTTTAATATCAGCGTTTATAAATAAGGGGCCAAAATGACCCATGCAAATCCACTTAGCCCGTCGGTCGCCGTTCCCGAAACTTAACGCAATATTTCGAGGCAGCACATTCTCAGTTGTTCGTTTTTAATTATATTGCCATAAAGGCCTCCCCAGAAAACATGTGTTACAACGCCGGCTTTATGAAGTTAACAAGAAAACCAAGCTTAAATTGTTTTATGCAAAAAGGGAGAATATTATATCCGCTCAGCTCAGCGTTGACTAACACACGCAATATAGAATAGCAAATAGAACCATCTAATAGCGATTTGTATGTGAATGTGGTAATCTGCTTTGCCAATTGTATTTGTACTTGTCATCTTTAATTTTGCAAATTTTTCCGAAAATTTTATAACTCAATGTATTCATCTTTTTCAAAGGAGAAGGCTTTGGCGTTCGTCACTGGAAAGCAGTGAAGTTATTCCTGATGTTTGCATCCCCAGAGGTGTTTTGCGCGAAAGTTTACACTAGCCCCTCACTCAGTGTAAGACTTTGAACATCTCAACCTCACCACGAGCGAACATAATTTTCAAAAATGCAATAAGTTGTATCTCAATAATAAAATAAAGGAACATTTTAAAGTGTAGGAGCGCGAGAATTCCGTTTAATAGAGCGACGTAAAATTAGAACCCCTGATTGAAGCAAACATTTATTAGATCTTTAAACACTTTCCAAACAACGCTATAAAATGATGTTAAGGATGCCACGAACTGCAACGTTAAATTTATTTCATAAAAGTAAATATATAACAACTTAATAAGGGGTATTATAAATATTTTAATGGCTTCAATAAATCTTGCTACTTCGGGTAGAAATAAATCTATAGTGATCTATAGGTTATAAAGCAATAAAGTGTTTTTGATTCTCGCTTATGTGGTAAATTCTTGCTTTAATAGCCAAAGTATGGGTCGTCAGTATGCCGAAATGACTTTATAATAAAAAGATGAGCGGGAACAAGGCAATAATACGGAATATAAAACTATTATTATTGAACCAATGTTTGAACATTACATGGCAATGTATCGTTTTTAGGCGGCTCTGGGATTTGCAGATCCATTCCCAATCAACAGAATTTGTTGAGAGCCCTAAGAATATTTATATTTATGTTGCTTTAAAAAAACCTATCTATACAGGGTGATTCAAAGTTGGCGTCATTCCTCTGGAGGTGTTGTCTGGGGGTGTTTTGGGAGTACAGAAAAAATAGATAAAATAATTAATTGTCATAAATGTATATTTTCCTGACTGTATTTCAACTTAATTCAAAAGAAATTCCTGGGTTCCAGTCAATTTTATTGTTTACCATTTAAAATGTTACAAAAACGTTTCGGTGTTTTTCTCCACCATCATCAGTTTGTCCGTATAAATTTTGGTATGAGGGCAAGATTCTTGAATCAGGTCAAAAAGTTTCTTCGATTCTTTTCTTTTGCCCGCTTTGCGATCGGGTTCCTATATCTTTTCATCAAACCATCTTCCTCCATCCGATCCATCATGCCATTTTCCCAAGCATTTCCATTCATTGTGTATATTTTCCTGACTGTATTGCAACCTAATTCAAAAGAAATTCCTGGGTTTCAGTCAATTTTATTGTTTACCACTTAAAATGTTACGAAAACGTTTCCGTGTTTTTCTCCACCATCATCAGTTTGTCCGTATAAATTTTGGTATGAGGGCAAGATTCTTGCATCTGGTCAAAAAGTGTCTTCGATTTTTTTCTTTTGCCCGCTTTGCGATCAGGTTCCTATATCTTTTCATCAAACCATCTTCCTCCATCCGATCCACCATGCCATTTTCCCAAGCATTTCCATTAATTGTTGGTAGAGAAAAACACCGAAACGTTTTTGTAACATTTTAAGTGATAAACAATAAAATTGACTGGAACCCAGGAATTTCTTTTGAATTAAGTTGCAATACAGTCAGGAAAATGTACACAGATGAGGAAGATGGTTTGATGAAAAGATATAGGAAACTGATGGCAAAGCGGGCAAAGGAAAAAAATCGAAGAAACTTTTTGACCAGATGCAAGAATCTTGCCCTCATACCAAAATTTACATAAAAAAATACCAAAAACTGATGATGGTGGAGAAAACCACCGAAACAGTTTTGTAACATTTTAAATGGTAAATTAAAAAAAAAAACTAAAAAGTAACTGAGATATTTGCAAAAAACTAGATCAGAGGGATGGCAACAATGTTTTTCAAGGCAATCTGCCTAATTAACATTACGTAAATACCTGTTGCTTCTCCTGTGTTCTTCTTCAAACTGTAGACAGCAGTTAAACACAAACACAACAAAAGGGAAAGTGGGAGTTCAATATTCCGATGTTAGGAGAACGTTGTCACTTTGACGTCAGTGCTACCAACTTTTTTGTGGAATTTGAGTGATATACCTAAATCTGTCACAGCTGTCATCAGAAATCTCATGTTAAAGGTTATGTTTCACTGTGGCATTTCCCCATTAGTCGCAAATTCGATGTTGGTATACATTTAGTGAAAGGAGCTTCAAAGAAAGTCACAGTCTGGCAAATGCTTGTTATTGTTGACAAAAGCTATCTATCTGTTAATAGCAAAAACGTAATTGCCGCTTTGATTCTTAATCAAAAAATTGTAGAAGAGTACTTTGTTAACATGTTCGTAATTTGAAGCAAAAATCGCAATTTTTCTTCTGGAACGGTTGATTATGCCAATAGGCTGCCAATAGGCTGCCAATCGAATATGATACCATTTCAAAGTAATAACAAAGTTGAAATTCGATCTTCAACTGTTAATATCTTCTAGACATTTTCGGAAAAAAACATCGTCTACCCTAAGAACAAACAATTTTACAAGTTTCTCTTTGGATTAAACTGAGGAATTGATGTTGAGGTCCATCAGACACCTAACCCAAATGCTTATATCCTCAATGAGACCGCTTCCAACGTAAAAATTCCAACAATGTAATAGAGGAACTAATTGTAATAAGGCCTATTGGCAAGAAAGCGATATAGGGCCGGTCAAGTTAAGTCAACGATGCAGAAAATGAGGTAGGGTGTGCTCGACCATAAAGGTGTGTAAAGTTGCTTTCGGAAAGGCCTTTAGCAGCCGGCAGCACACCTGGGTATGTGTATTACTTATCACATACACCCCGAGATTTATAGTCAGAGTTGGGCCTAGAAAATTATGATTTAAAAAATGCGTTTGACGAAATTACTGCAGCTGGCCTGAAAAACTTAGGATTCAAAGGA